GAGCTTCAGTTTGCTTGCGTCGTCCAGAAATGACAACGCTTTTAGCGCTTTTTGTGCGGTGGCAAACGCTTCATCTGCTTTGTCCATTGCCATCGCAAACCGACAGCAGAACGTGAAAGTGCGGGTCGAACGATAGCATATCAGACTCTCTTGCACGGCAATGAAAGATATCAAGCTATGCTTCTCATTGTTGATGGGTCATGGTCCCAGAGCTTCGGCTACTCCTGGATCCTGATACAAGCTCCACGGGATCTGCAGAATTTTAAGAGCTTGCAACGAACTACAACCTGGCATGACGTCCAGCAGCAGTCATAGGAGTCGGATAAGTACTCTTACTGAACTGTCCAGTCGGCTCCATTTTTGCATAGCTGCGGTGAAACTCTGCGAAGCTGACAAGCTGCCCTTCGTCATGCCTCCGGCCTGCGCAGATTTGCAACCGCATGGAGTTCGATCGATGATTCTCCCAGTCCTACCCTTCCGGAGACACCATAGATCGTGCAAAGATCTTCAGCACACTCCGCCTTCGCGCCTTTCGCAACCCTGGAGTCGCTTCGGCATGCACAAAATTGCACAAAGCACATCTGAAGCATGATTGACACAACATCAGACAGTGACAGTGACAGTGACAGTGACGGATAGTGAAGTGAGAGTGACTGCGACAGTGACAGCACCCGCAAGCCGCGCCTATGCCGGAAGTGGCTGCGGCAGCGAGTTGAAGTTGCATGTGGATTTTGGTATCCACCTTTGCAGTGGCAGATGCACTACTGCAGAACTCAGCATCTCGTCGGTTGGAGACAATCTACTGTAAGTACAACAACGTCTGATGAGAATGTGTGAACATGTGACTTACTCACCACTCCATTGCTGACCAGTACCACGGCGCTACTAACACACATGCCATGCACTTGCCTGGGTACAAGCAACCGTGACTTACCATTGAAAGCAGCTGCATGCAAGATACATCGCAGCCAGGGGCGGCCTCAAGCGATCTAACCATCTCCGCCAGAAAGGTCTTCGCGAAGCAGTTGACTCTACCTGAGCCAATCTATTCGCAGCCGGATCCCGCTTCTATTCTGGAAAGCCCTCAACAAGGCGCTGACTGACATAAAGCTCCCAGAGTTCAAAGAGTGGAAGCTGTTGTTGCTGAACTGCCTCCACCACGAAGGCAGAATGCTGAGAGGAAGAAAAAGCCCTGGCCCTCGCCTGCTCAGCTGCATCGCGAACCTGACAGAAACGACGGTCGCTTTCGACTGCTCTCCATCGGGCTCTCCCACTCTTTCGGGCTCCAGACCCGTCCGGGGCGTTCTGAAAAACCTCGCAGCGGAATCAGGGGCAGAAAAGCAACCCAAGCCGCAAGGCTGCCCTAAACCCCAGGGCACACAGTCGCTGAGTCGACGGCATAACGTTGAAAGATTGCGGGCGCAATCGAGACCTCGGACTTTTGACCATTGGCCAAATGGCTGATGCACAGAGCAGGCTCGTCCAAAAGGCCCAAGTCTTGGACGACATTGCTCCAACCCATGAAATCAAAGTAGTAGCGCTTCTTCGACTCCAAGTGCCGCCTGAAACCGCACATGAGCGGCAAGAAGCGCGAACAAAAGGAGGAAATAGGAGGAAACTTTTCGCCTAAGCTCTGAAGCTGCAGCCGAGGCACGGGTCATCACTTGTCTGATCATGATCATCAGGCAGGTCATACATGCAAACGTGGATGGGGAAATCCTGCTTATCCGACAGCAAATCATGTCTGATGCACACAAAGTGCTCAGGTCCTGCATGAAATGATCGAGGCTGACTCTGGCTCCCATTTTCAATTGCCAATTCAGCCTCAGCGAGATCTCCAACGAAATCTAGGCAGAGAATGCCAGGCCGCTAGGCTGAAAAGAGGTTGCAAGGTATAAGTGCTGACCAGCGGCACGTCGAGAAATGGCGCCGGCCCCCACAACCTGAAGGTGTAGGTGTCCTCAAGGTGCGGCATGCATGCAAGCCAAAAGCCAGAACAATGGAAGTACCCCGAACTTCAGGTGTCCTGCGTGTTGAGTGAGCTCTCGACCTCTTGAACCATGCGGCTGTATTCGGCCAGTCCTCGTGACAATCTCTCAAAAGCATGTTCCAAGAAGCGAGGGATGGCGCTGCCCACCTACGTCCCGGCGCATGAGGCTCAGCCTGAGCGGCCAGCGGCTGGCATTGGGGGACTTGGGTCTGTTTGCATTGCTTTTGGGGCTCCAGCCCGTACACATCGCTCGGCTCGTCTAGGTCCGAACAGATGGGAGGAATTGGCCTCGCACAGTGATTGTTCAAGTGGCCATGCACCAGCGAGAACCACTCTCGAACCTGCTCGCCGGAGTGATGATGATCTGGTCGAATACCGTCAGATCCCTTACGTAGTCATGCGGCTGGAGGAGGAGAGCTTCCGAGTCGCTTCCCTGGTTCTGAAAGCTCCAGGCGAAACAGCGTGGCCGAGCTCCGCGTCTTTTTGGAGAGCGTCCTTGAAAGCCAGAGTCAGTTGGAGGCTCCTGCGACGTCCTCAAGAGATTCGGAGTACAACTCCATTTACCGGGCCTTGCAGCGAGCCCCCCACGAGAAGTATATCCTGGCATCCCACAGCGTACAGAAGCAGTTGCCAGACACGAAGTTGACATGCAGCTCGCTCCTGTAAGTATATTTCACCAGCGTGATGGCCGTGTTCATCGCAAGGATGGATGTGGAAGCCACTGGCTGGTCCTACGGTGCTACATTGGGTGCTGTAACTCTGGCCCGATTCTCCGACATGATTGAGGCCACCGCATAGTTGAAATCACGAAGAACCGCTCCAACATAGAGCCTGCCCCTGGGAGCCTGCCAAAAGGTGCCTCTTCATGATCCAACTCCGATGGCAAACAAACTTGCCTTCTTGAACTTGCCCTGTAAGCGAAGCTCCCATCCACGCTTACGCGACCGGAAGTGGTCGTAGTAAGGGTGCCCACGTTCTAGCCTTGAAGGCGACATTGCCATGAAGCATCTGTGTGTCATGACGCTTTGAAGCAACATCCCATTTGCTTGCTTTCCTCACGGCGTCTGCTTGCACAGCGAGCTGACCTTCCGAGAGTCTGGCCCCTCTGTTGGTCGGTAGAGCAGCAGCACTTTCCCGATAAAATTGGCATTCTCGATCGGGATGGCTGCAGTCCTCAGAGCTCCAAGCTGGAGGGATCTTTATACGGGGCATGCCTGTCTTCATTTCTCTTCAACAACTGCATTAGTGCCCTTCGATGCCATTCGTCCGTCCGCAAAGACATCCGAGCACGGTACGTGTTGCATGGCAGGAAGTTTGCGCGCGGCATCCTGAACAGTTGATGCTGCTTATCTTTCCCCGTTCCGTTCTATCCCTCTGAGCTATGTGAGTTGTGTGTTGTCGATACTAGAGCAACAGAACCCTTGATGGAGCCTTAAGGCTGTGTTCACTTGGTCAGCCACATCATACTGCCATACTGGCTATACTCCATCCATCCTGAATTCAATCAACAGCGAGTCTGCGATCCCCACCTTGACCCGCTGCTCGTGCCGTACCCGTCTGCATCAGGAACGATCGAATACCTGACACATGCGCACACAGGACTCTACAGCGGGAGAATGGCTTGTAACGAAGGCTCCGTGCTTGCGACAACGAAGCGAAGCTTTGCACTGGGTAGCGGACGCCAGCAGATGCTCCTTCCCTGGCAAGCCTGCGATGTGGCGGCCTTGCAGACTGCCAAGCCAGGATGGAAACTGGAACATTTACTGCAAGTCTCGAGACAGGCAGACAGGCCCCGCGCGCACGACGCTTTGGCTCTGGGCAATCTGGCCATCCCTGGAAAGCTCCTGCAGGGACAGTGCCAGGCTTGTTCGAAAGGAACTGCCACTAGTGACAAAGAGCACTTGAGATTTGAGATGTGAAACGGAAGAGCAGGCAAGGGAGGCCTCGACTGCCGCTGCTGGCACACGAGGCCTGACGGCGAGGCTTGACGGCGCATCGCAGCATGTCTAACGGATGCCATGGACATCTTCGGCAAATTGCAGGAGTTACGAGCGACGGCAGCAGGTTCCATGGCCCTGCTGAGCTTCCTGAACCCCCCCCTGGCCAGCAATTGGCCCATGGGCCCCTGGGCCACTGATCCCTTGAATAGTCGTAGGAGTACGAGTTCTACTTAAACTATGCTGCGATAGCAACGACTGCCAGTGATACCACCAACTCTGCGTGCTTGTGGATGCACCGCCGTGCAGTCGTGCGACCACCATTAATCTCGGCTTCAAGGCGGTCTTCCCTAACCACCCACCCCGGGATTGACCGCAGGGAAAGAAGAAACACCAACAGAAAAACAAAGCACAAGAGTCTCAATGGCAGGCACAAGAAAATCTACACACTGCGCGAAGCGGCTTTACACCGGCCTAGATCCAAAATGACATCTTCGGGTACCTTTAAGGAGATGCGGCGCGGGAAACCCTAAAGCCGGAAAGGAGATGAGCGAGACCCTCCTCCGATAGACGTAGATGGAGATTTGCAGAGGTAGGAACGCGTAAAGCGGATCGCGAGGTGGTAAACGCCAAACCCTAAGTGAATCGAGATGCGCAGTGCGAAACCGGCAAACTAGATCGCGAGGTAGTAAAATCAAACCCCAATCAAATCGAGATGCGGGGTGGGAAACCTAAACTCGAAAAGGTGAAGTAAACCCCAAATGCAAAGCGCTAAAGCCGCTAAACCCGAAATGGAGATGAGGACAAAGACCATCGTCCAATACCGGCAAAGCTGATCGCGAGGTGATGAAACCTAAACCCCTAAACCCTAAACCCGAAAAGGAGATGAGCACAAGACCCGAATCCAGTAGAAATAGAGGAAGTTGCAGGGGATGTGGGGGACAGCAGATCGCGAGGTAGTGAACCTCAAACGCAGATGCGTGGTGGGAAACCCTAAACCTTGGACACTGCCCCAGCCCACTAACAGAGACCACAAACCAGAGCACAAAAAAAGCACAACACTAAAGTGCTTGTTTCAAGGAAAAAGGAGATTTTAAAACGCTTGGAAGGAGAGAGATCTCAGAGATATGTCGTTCTGAGGCGTTCCCTCTTGCCGCATACTGTTCTCATGAATCGAACGAAATGGAGATCTTGAGTTGTGTCCTGTCACGGGTCCCTGGGCTGGTCCTGGAGCCTGGGCCCCAGGGCCCCGGCCTAAGTCCCCAGGCC